CCGATGCCTGTGTGTCTGTCCCGCCGGCGGCGGCGGCTGCCATGGATGCATGACAGTGAGATGTTTTGCACTATTTTGAATTTTTTGGGCTCTGTAAAAATATTTTATTATAACTGACATTAAAAAGCACACCCTTCGCTGTGGCTCCTGTGAGGTGTGGGCAGGGGGCAGGCACCTGGGGGCTTTCCAGACCCTCTCCAAAGAATATCCAACCCCAAGGATTGCCAGCTCTAAGGATCAGTAGCCCAGGGATGCTGCAGCATCTCTGGCCCCCTCAGCTTTCCTCAGGGTCTCTGCAGTGCACCCACCCTTTGCAAAGCCAAGAGCATCAGGACAGGGTTAAATGGAATCATAGATCATAGAATCCTACAATATCCTTAGCTGGAAAGGATCCCCTAGGGGTCCAACCCCTGGCCCTGCCCAGCACACCCCAACAATCCCCCCCTGTCCCTCAGAGCGTTGTCCAAACGCTCCTGGAGCTCTGGCAGCCTTGGGGCCGTGCCCACTGCCCTGGGGAGCCTGGGCAGTGCCCACCACCCTCTGGGGGAAGAACCTTTCCCTGAGATCCATCCCAACCCCCCTGGCACAGCTCCAGTTGGTTCCCTCTGGTCCCAGAGAGCAGAGCTCAGTGCCTGCCCCTCCAGGGCCTGAAAAGTCATCCTGGTTTGCTGATTGTGCAGATTCAGGGAACTTGGCTGCAGCAAACGTTTCTAGGTCTGCAGCGTGCAAGGTACATGTGCTAATGCATCAGCAGAGTCAAGCAAGCAAGCACTGAACAGGCTGCAGGGGGAGAAGGAAGGGCTTAACTTTGGATTCACATCCGAGGAACTCACAGAATCCCAGGATGGTTTGGGTTGGAAGGGATCTTAAAGCCCATCCAGTGCCACTCCCTGCCATGGGCAGGGACACCTTCCACCAGCCCAGGTGGCTCCAAGCCCCGTCCATGGACACTTCCAGGGATCCAGGGGCAGCCACAGCTGCTCTGCCCAACCTGTGCCAGGGCCTGCCCACCCTCACAGCCAAAATTTCCTTCCCAATCTCCCATCTATCCCTGCCCTCTGGCACTGGGAAGCCATTCCCTGTGTCCTGTCCCTCCATCCCTTGTCCCCAGTCCCTCTCCAGCTCTCCTGGAGCCCCTTTAGGCCCTGCAAGGGGCTCTCAGGTCTCCCTGGAGCCTTCTCTTCTCCAGGTGAACCCCCCCAGCTGTCCCAGCCTGGCTCCAGAGCAG